GTCGCGGAGAACCTAACGGGTAACCGGGGCTCCGGCTCGACGTGCAGGAGAAGGAACGGGGTGGTTTTTAGTCAGTAAGAGTCTGACACTCCCTCCCGCCTCACCCAGGCGGGAGCAGTCATTCGATGATTTTCCCCCCTTAAAAAAAAAAAGGGAAGGTTTAAAAGGTGAGAAAAACTTTTAGGCGGTACGAAGTTTGCCGGGTCAGCTAGTAGAATATAGATTCGAGATTGTAACTGGTTTAGGGGGGGGGGGGATCATTCAATTACTTCTCCCGCCCTGGGTGAGGCGAGAGGGAGTGTCAGACTAAAAACCACCCCGTTCTTACTTCTGCTTCGAGGTAGAGCCCCAGTACCACAGTAGGTGGTCCACAGCAAGATGACAAGTCTCAAATAGATGGTTTGTTAGGGTAGATGACAATTTTTTATTTTAATGTGCTCAAATTTATTTGGTAGATAACGGCTATCCAGATATAGTGAAACAGGTCCTTAAACTAATAAAATAATAACATAAATGGGTGTTCCATTATTTTACGTTGTTTGAAATAATTTCTTAATATAAAACAAATTCGTTAATTAGTTTTCAACTATAATAGGTTTAGTGAATAATTTGAGAAATGTAGGAACCAATTAGTGTTCATTGTGTTCAGAGTTACTAATTTAGTTATTACATTAACCCTAACCTTCGAGTCTAGGCCTACTTTACTATTCTCTTTGATGTCTTTTCTATTGTACAAAGAAGTTTGAGTCCTATTTTAGGAATGTTTAATGTTCATTTTACTATATCTTTGTTGCAACAAGATATAATTGCTATTAATTATTCCTTTAGATAGATCTACTTTAATTTTTGTTTCTTTTTTATGAATCTTCTTCAAATAGTTTTAGAAACGCAAGTGCGACTGCCAGGCAAGGGGTCTCGGGTTCGTTGCCCGGGTTGAGCAACGTACTACTGTGTTTTAAAAAAAATCTCAGTGGTAGCACGGAGTCTGGAATTGTGCCCGGTATATTGTAATAGGCTCACCCCCTATTATATGGTCCATAACATAAATAGTGAAAAGTGGGTGTATTATTGTAGAGGTATAGTGGCATTAAGGGGCGTAATCTGCCTCTGCCTAACCCATTCGGGGATAAAAGGCGTGATGCTATGTAGTACAATAAACATGTATATATATAACCTTCAGCTGTAACAGGTGGAAGCCATAACTTCTAGTTGCAATCGGATGTGCGTTTCTTTTAGTGCGTATAAGTATCATAGATAATTACATTACGTGGAAAACCGGATTCGTTTTGGATATAGCACTGATTATTTTTTTTACACTAGTTCTAATTTTAGGTTACATGCAATAACATAACATAACATGACGCCTTTTATTCCCGAAGGGGTAGGCAGAGGTGTACATTACCGCACTTAACGCCACTGTACAATGTAACACCCACTTTTCACTATATATGTTACGAGTCCCATGTAATAGGGGGTGAGCCTATTGTCATATACCGGGCACAATTTCAGACTCCATGCTACTACTGAGATTTTTTGAAAAGCCCAGTAATACTTTGCCCGACCCGGGAATAGAACCCGAGACTCCTTGCCCGGCAGTCACGATTGCGACTTGGTCAAGAGAGCAGTTACATGCAATAAATACATAATTTAGTGTTACAATCACTTAAACTGTCAAACATCAAGCGGTCACCGATGACCGCAACCTATTGTTCTATAATTGTGTCTATAATGACGGTACTCGACGAGTTAAGGGTAGGCACCACATGCATAAGAAGGTTGCACAAGAAAGACAAGAGTATACATATAAATTAACAAAATAACAACTTAAATTAATTTGAGATTAATAAGTTACAATGAAACAGTTCAAAATAATAGGTGCCATGTGAGAATTGCCCATTCCGTCAACATATCTCTTGACATTAAATAGTAGACACTAAACAGTATTACTATTGTTTTTTTTTTAAACCAAAAGGAGTATGTTTAGGTAAGACTCTGTAACTCTGTAATTTTACTTAAACATACTTTTAGGTCTCACTTATTACTTGCAATTGGGAGTAAAATAATACTATCTGGTAAAAAGTATTCCTGGTACGACCTTTTGGAGAATAATTTGCGCGATACCATGTATATCATCGTATGTTTGTAAACATAACATCATAACAACAAGGTAGGCAGAGATACATACTATAGACTGTACAATGTACCACCACCCGCTTTTCACTATTTATGTTATAAGTCCCATGTAATAGGGGTGAGGCTATTGCTGTATACCGGGCACAATGTAATGCTTGCAAATAAAAAAAAAATATAGGAAATAAGCAACAAAACCTCAATAAAACCCAATGTTCCTACCACTGTAACAGGAAACTTCCGCAGTACGAGCACACCCATTCCATTCGAATTGTAAAGAACTCGATATTTGATCGATTCTGTTCATAGACGAGCAATGGCTTCGACAACATATCGATCCTTCGGATCAGCGAACCGATATTTGTTTACTATCGTGGTACAGTTAGGTGCACAATGTATCAGTCCATCACTAGTAGAACAAAGAGGTTACAAACCTAGAAACACACCGAACGTAATGCATTCGGCATTTGAAATAAGACGAAGAATATATCACAAAAACTCTGGACGAAAATAAAAAAAAAATAATGTTTGTAGCAGAAGCACAATGCAGGTAATCTGTATTTGATTCGTGCCTATCCTATTATATGAGTCGCGGAGAACCTAACGCGTAACCGGGGCTCCGACTCGACGTGCAGGAGAAGGAACGGGGTGGTTTTTAGTCAGTAAGAGTCTGACACTCCCTCCCGCCTCATCCAGGTGGGAGCAGTCATTCGATAATATTCCCCCCTTAAAAAAAAATCCTATTATATGAACGTATAATTATGAACTAAATTGTATGTGGTATTCCGTAAAGAATTTCAGACTCGTAATGCCTAATATTTCATTACTTCAGTTGCATAAAATAATGTATACAGTTCTTCATAACTTCCTTATACTACGGTAATAAGTTTTTCTTGTTTTCAATTTTATAACAATGTTATAATCATTTTAGCTTAATGTTGTAAATAGGAAGAACTAATAAATACTGGTATCAGCTGACGCGATGTAAAAGAAAGCAAATTAAAAAAGAACCATAACATTCGTACACCAAAGCAATCAATGACAAAATAAAAAAGTCGAAAAATAAAGTACGTAATTAAAAAAAAGAGCAAAAACAACTATACTTACATTGCAAAACGATAGAAAACTTAAGTAACCACCACATTATCCCGGCCAAAGCCAAATGTTTGTCCAAACACTAAACCAATATATCACTGCGTATGCGCCTTGCAAGCGACGAAAATCCGAAAAATAAAACCAGTTTAAACCGCTTATAAAACAACAATCTTTATATACGCTAAAGGGAATATATTACAAACTTCGTAAAAGTTTAAAAAGTTTCGAACTAAACGCGCGTAAAGTTTAAAACCGCTCCCGACGTGTGTGGGGTTCGAACCCGGGTTGGTAACTAACCGACGCAGCCAACTGGCGTCCGGTAGCAAGCAGACCATATCGGAAGCACTTGGTATTGTGTAGTTATTGGGTAATTTATTCTAATACTTCACGTAGGTGTGCGATTATGTTCTTTAAGTGTTCTTGTTTTAAGTTTATTTTTTATTAATTAGTATAGTCTTGGAATTTAACTCTTAATGACTTTTAAAGTAATATTAATGTGTAATTATTCAAATAATAAAAGAAAATTAAAACAAAATTCTCGGCGCTTGAGCATACTAAGTACTTATTAGTTCTGTATATAAATTTCCGCAACACTGCAAGTAGGTATTTACCTACGACTACCAAAAGATTTATATATCACTTAGATACAATATTATTATATCACCTTAGACCACTATAGACCCCATTCTAAAACCAAATAACGAATCATCAACAAAAAACAAGTTCAAAAACCAATCAACTAAAAATCACTTTACAAAAATCACCTCAATTTCTAACCAACCGTACGTCACAACCACAATGTACCTTCTTCTAGGCCTCTTCCGTCTGCTATCGCTACCCGCTACCCATCGCCTTACATTCATTTACATAGCAAACTTAGTATGCGAATAATGTACGCTGGTTGTATAACATTTCTAAGTGAGTTAAGACCTTTGCGTTAATTTTATCTTCAGTCTACAGTCGCGATTTGAATTTGTTCGTCCATTTTGGAGTTCGTGAGTTAAAATTGCATGGGGTTGCTTTGTTGACGGGGTTAAAAATATCGTGATGAAAACGCGGAGTGGAGGAATGGACTTGTTGTTTCTTTAGGCGAAGGGTTCTTAGAATAAAAATAATATTGATGAAAATCTAACGTCACTTTATTAAAAAGATAAGTTAGACTGCACGTTTGGTGCAGTGGCTGGGCAACTGGCTATCGCGAAATGTGTAAAGCAACTCTTTGTGTGATCCACAGATTGTTGTTTTGAGTCTGGGTGTCATCTGTATGTGAAAATGTATGTTTGTAAACGCATCCACGATACAGGAGAAAATCTTAGTGTGAGGTAACGCTTTAAAAAAAGTGACGATTGATCTAGTGAGACTACATGAGCACAAAGGATCCAAAGCATAAGGGACCTTAATCATGAGGTCTCTATATGTATTACTCATTTGAATGTATCTACGGAAATAGCAATAAAACAGAATAAACTAAATTTAACTCTAGTATGTATAACAAACAAGGAAGCAAACTAAAAGTTCCTACGAAACAATTGCTTATAAAACGTTCAGTCGAGTCTATCTCGGAGTAAATTAAATATAAATGAGTCTCGGAGTTTCTCAGTTAAACAGGCCAAGAATTCTCATAGTTAAACTTGTATTAATTGTTGAGTACTTAGTTCTTGCGAAACTCAACGTCAAGGTATCGTTTCACTTTCTATTATTAAGCATTCTCGAAATACTAAATTGGAGTCGAAGATGTGGCGTTGTCTGGATGCCCTTCCCTAAGCAAATTGGATTTAAACAAGCTTTGTTTTATTCATAATTTAAGTATTGTTGAATAGGCTTCTAAAACTAAGTTAGGTGTATCAGTATTTATTATAAAACCCAATTTACATCACATCAACATCCACTTCCTTGCAGATAATATTATATTTATTTGTTTTTTGTAAGGAAAACCAACAGTTAACAATTGGAGACAATTCGAATAATAATGATGAATCAGAAAACATATTTGGTATAATAAGAAAATATGTATAACCATAGATATCTTTATGACGTTGCACAACAGGATACAATACTAGGTTCTGCTCACGGCTTCACTCGCATATCCGCGGAATAAAAGTACCCTGTGTTATTCCAGACCATCATCTATAACTGTTCTAAATTTCATCTCAATCCCTTCAGCCGTTTTGATGTGATTGAGAATACAAACTCATAAATATTTGAATTTATAATATTAATAAGATAAGTCTTTACAATTTTCTGAACCAGAAACCAACGTTTGTATCAAATCTACCTACCTACGTACCTACCTACACTTCTTATATACTTTATTATAATTAATTTGCCCTTAATTTATGCTACTGGCGCGTTCCAGTCTACAATACAATAGATCTGCGATTCCGACTTTCCGAAATTATGTTCCTTGTCGTAGTCGTTCTAACTTATGATAGGAACGATTAGAGATTCGAACGCTGAATTGTTCCTAGAATACTGGCCATGCTAAATCAATATGGCGTCCAAATCGCCTGAATAAGAATGGCGTTCTTATACGGATATATAGGGATGGTTAGACTCAAAGAAATATTTAAGTTTTCATTTATACTGCCTGCCTCGTTGGCCTAGTGGTCGCAAGTGCGACTGCCGGGCAAGGGGTCTCGGGTTCGATTCCCAGGTCAGGCAAAGATTACTGGTTTTTTTTTAAAGAACTCTCAGTAGTAGCACGGAGTCTAGAATGGTGCCTGGTATATGACAATAGGCTCACCCCCTATTACATGGGACTCATAACATAAATAGTGAAAAATGAGTGTTACATTGTACAGTGGCATAATGTGCACCTCTGCCTAGCCCTTCGGGGATAAAAGGTGTGATGTTATGTTATGTTTATTTATATTTTGTTGATGTAATAATTGACTAAGTTATTAGGAAAACTCTGATGATTAATATTTTATACTAACGTGAGGAACATATATATGAATGAATATTTTAAAAGTTCTATTAAGGTGGTAGTTACCTCTATAGAGCACTAGACTATTTAACAGAATGGAGTCTTTTCCTTCGTGATATTCTAAAATTTTCTGCAACATTTAAGTCTGCTATTGTGCTAGATACCCTCTCTGCTTACCCCTATAAGAAACAAACATCTATAAACCGAAACAATTTAAAACAGTAACTCCACAAAACACTAACAAAGAAACACATTACCGTTTATCGTGAAGAGAACAGACAATGATTTGATTCAATAAAGTCCTGCCGGACGCTCAGCGGCCATAAATATTAATTAAATGTCTTTCATGTTATTTATTGTACACACCATCAAGCTATACATAACCAGCTTATCATGATCCGCCTTGTAACATCTTCCTGCAGATTTAAAGGTCTGTTTATACTGGTTTGTATAGGATGGTGTGCAGCCGTATGTATTGAACACGGATTCCTTTATCTCGTCGTTTATTAGATTTCGGGAGCGATTAATGATTGCTAGTGAGGGGGATTATTGACTATGAGTAGATAATAAAGGAAGGATTTCTATTTACTGTCGTGTTTGAATTAAGTTAATTTGTGATCTAATTAGTGATGCGGACGGTTGTTTTTGGAAGTCTTTTTTTTTTCGACAACCTATAGGCTATAGGTTTTTTAAATTTCCATTCATTCAGGAACATTTTCAAGCTAAAATCTTATTGAACACTAGCTACTTCCGCGTGGTTTCACACGCTCTGCTCAGCTCCTATTGGTCGTAGCCTATAGCCATCCACGATAAATACCCTATCCAACACAAAAAAAATATTCAAATCAGACTTGTAGTTACGGAAATTAGCGCGTTCAAACAAATGAACATAAAAACAAACTCTTCTGCTTTATATAATAAGTATAAGATAGGATAAGATATGAGGAATATTTTAATGAAAGAGATAGGTCAGACATGCATGTCCCCCTAGGCGTTGTACCGTGGGGGCTCCGGAGCAGGTCTCCTCAGAGGACCCAGTGCCCTTTACAGATGCTGAGGGTGGCCACCGGGGTGGTTTTAGTGAGGTACGAATCCCACACTCCCTAGTCTTTCACCCCGAAAAGCTAGGCGCCTTTTGTAGGTTTCCCCCCGTTATCAAAAAAAAAAAAAATGTCATACATACATACATACATAATGTTTAGTGTGATAACATTTAAGTATAATTAATTTTAAATTTACATAACATAACATCACGCCCTTTTATCCCCGAAAGAGCAGGCAGAGGTGCACATTACGGCACTTAATGCCACTGTGCAATGTAACACCCACTTTTCACTTTTTGTGTCATGAGTCCCATGTAATAGGGGGTGAGCCTATTGCCATATACCGGGCACATTTCCAGAATCCGTGCTACTACTGAGATTTTTAAAAAACCCAGTAATACTTTGCGCGACCCGGAAATTGAACCTGAGACTCCTTGCCCAGTAGCCCCACTTGCGACCACTCAGACAACGAGGCAGTCTTCTTACTTAACCATGTAAAATCAAAAAACACCTTTATCACTTGTTTTTTAATTGAAATCTGATTGTATAATAATTGTAATTGTAATTGATGATCAAATTTGTTTTACTAACACTAGTTGTATAAGAAAATTGTTACTAACCATTTATGAGCTCTGAGCTTGAAATAAAGATTACTATTCTATTCTATTCTATTTATACTCAACCATCGCACACACATAACCCGCCATTACAATATCATCACACTTGATTTGACATTAATTACACTGTTTGTCACATGTCTGACAAAAAAGCTCGAAAGCTCCGACCGTGGGTGACCGGTGTGACGTGACGGAAGCGGGCCGTGTGCGGACTTCCGGTCCGGTCGGCCGGAACGACCGGCGCATTCCGATAGGGGGACGTATAAACTTGTGATCACTGTTTGCGCAGTTACGGGTACGGTGATATTTTTTTTGGGTCGTAATTTAATTAAATTTTTATGTGGAAGTGGTACGGTAGATATATTCCATTTGAATATTAGATTTGTACTTTAAAGAATTTGAAATAAGTACGGTTTTTAGGAAGTTAATGTAACCTATTGTTGATTACTGTTTCGTTCTATTAGAATAAAATAGAATAAATTTATTGAGGTATTATACCATGAAATAAAAGAAATTCATATTATACCATGAAATGTAACATCCCATTGTACCTATGTTTACAAATAAATATTTTCATTTTCATTTTCATTTAAACTTTATTGCAAACCATTAATTATTTAGTACACACACAAAAGGAAATGATAAACAAATAAAAAATAATAATAGGCACAAAAGCAGTCTTATCACTTAC